CATGTTACAGCACATTACAAGCACCTCTTGGCCGCCTTACAGCGCGTTTGTCTTCGCCGACCGGCTGTAATAGAATAATCCGGTCTAGTCGCGGCCATAATTCATCCCCAGGTACTATTTTGATACTTTTCAAACTTAGCGGCGAACAAACGTAAGATATGTGCGGAATATTGTTGACGATGTTACGTTTGTATTCCGTCATCGAGGACACGTGTTTAAGGACGATGATTATTTGTGAGAGAGGCAGGTAAAAATGGTCGGGGAAGTGGGCTATGTGAAGTTGGCCCCCCCACTATTGCAAATCTAAAAATGACCAAACGTCAGTAAGCGACCACCAAACGAATGCTTACAGCCATTATTGCATTTGCGTTCTGCAAAGCCGAGTTTTAGAAATGGGGGGGGGCTAACTTCACACGCATATATCCTTTTTTTGATTTTTCCGGCTATAATTTCGACTACCAATTATCGGGAATGGACTACCAAACGTAAAGTCCTAACGTCCATGAAATACACACATAAACTTCAATATCGTATTATTAATATTATTTATTATTTAATATCCATCGCAGATACTTTAAATGTCTTTCATTTTACCACATAAAATTCTTTGTTCTATCTATAAAAAAGCCCCGTTGAATTTCATATTTCAGGGTTTCTCGAACCTCGAACTTCGAGTCAGATACGAGAAGATGATCGTCAGAAGTGTCCTACGTTGAGGAGAATCGCCGTAAACGCGACCACGCGGGGGTGATCGCGTGCCAATCGCAGCAGCTTGAAACTCGAGGCTCACCGAAAATATTCTCTCTTAGAAAAAGCAATCGGCCGGAAGCGAACCGATAACCAAGGAGCCGAAGGTCGAAGGGCAACGGCGGAATGGTCTCGGGGGAATGGGCAAAGGCGACGATGAAAGGAATGCGCCGTCAGAGGGGCACCACCATCGAAGAACCTAATTGATACGAGTAGATAAGACACTAACGATCACGCCGGATAAGAAATGAGCTATGAATGCGAGACTCCCCACAAAATTCCACGTTTCATTCACAGCAATTCCGCACGCTGCCTTTCTACCCTGTTCCATCATTTCTTCGGAGTATGTCATTTGGCATCACCAGGAATGTCATAGAATTTTATTGGACATGGACTTTGGCCGCGAATGACGTCAAGTGGGCATTTATGAGAAATAATGGGTTCACACGTTGGAATTCTCAATTAACACAATATGTCTAAATATAGTATTTTAAAAATTTTAATTAAAATTTATATTGTTTTTATTTGAAAAAATTCTGCAGCTGTCATTTTTTCTATATACATTTGAAATATTTGAATTCAATTAAATGCGTTTTAATTTTAAATTAAATTTTTTACAAATTTTATATAAAATAAAATACTTAATTATCAAAGAGGGGGAAAACTAAGAAAATTGTGGCATCTATAAGAACGTTGCTGGCCATCCATTGCGTTTTAAAACATAAAAATAAAAGTAAATCGGATAAGAGGATTAAATGCTGAGCGTTCCTAGTGCACCCTCATCTGTTTACGCCACTGTGTCTACCGTTTTATCCGAAAGCGTGCAGAAGATAAGGTACCAGGGCCATAAATTGCGTGCGTTCAATCCAGAGAGGGTAGGAGGATAAACGCGCACGCGAGCGAAGGGATGAAGGAGGCGTGGGGAGGAGGAATGAGGAAGAGAGGACAGGGTCGGCACACTCTGCAGCGAATTTCTTCGCGGATTAATATTTGCGGCGGCGGCTGCGGACGACGGCTTCCTGCAAGGCGAAAAGGGAGGTTTCCTCGCCAGACCCAGGAGATGGAACAAATAACGAACGCGACGTGCGGGACAAATGGGGAGGATCCATCCCCGGACTAACCGAGGTAATACGATACCCCACGTGAAAATCTTTGAAGAAAAGATAAAACAAAAAAATATTTTTACTGAAAGCGCGACTTCATTCATCGCGACTAAACAAGGATTCCCTCAAATGATCTTTCGAGAACAGTTGGTGTGCAAAATGATGCAAGGTACGATAAAAATGTCATTTCACGAGAGGATGTATATATCTGTAGATACAAAATTTAATTTCTTTGAAATCTTCTTCTACAAACTTTGTTGGTAAAGATACGAGTACACTGTTAGATACCAAAGGAGCAATAATAACTCAATCCTTTAAGTTAAATAATATTTTATTATTTTTAAAATCTTCATGTGTATCAAAATGTAAATCAATCCATTTTTATAATTACGTAGTTTTAAAGTAAATAATGTCCATATTACCATATGCACTTTGTAGATAATAAACTAACTGGAAGTCAAATTTAATACGTTTTCTTAAGTTAAAACGTTTAATTCCATTGTTTTAATTAAATTAATAATATATTAAATACGAACAGTAGCAACCTATAGAAATGATTAAAAATAATTTAAATGATGTATAATTTGACACAAGCTCTGATATTATTTTTTTATAAACGTTATTTAAAATTATATAATTAATTCAAAATTTAATTATCATTCTATTTGTACATGATATTTTCAAATATATTAATTATTAATCAATTATCAAATATTGTACGTCTTCTATTTTTTTACTATTTCGTACACATGCACACATTCAAGAATTAATGTCCACACTTCATAATTCTTAGTTACAAAAAGATGACCAACGTCATTCATCGTGAAAAAATTATGTCAACGAATGATCGATCGAATCGTTATATATCATAGTTTATCTTTTAATAAATCGCGATATATCCGAACTTTTCGCAACGCACATTTTCGCGACACCTGTCAAGTACGTTCCATTAAAAATGGTGGATTTAGGTGGGTCGCGTCTTCGCTTGGCAGATATTTAACCGCAACGTCGCGTAACATCAATACTGAAATCACACTGTCGCGATCTCACAATCCCATCCTGATGATATTTCAAAAGATATATTTAACTCAAACTTGTAAAATTGGTTATACCGTCAAAAATATTTTGTTACTTCAGAATAATTCAATATTCATTACTTATAATAGACTTTTTAAAATGTTTCTGGATTTTATTTAATGAGAAGAGAGAGAGAGAGATTTAGAGACCTATTTGTAGTCTGAGGGACATCGTCGTTACATCGGCAAATCCGCCACTGCAGAAGGTCTGGGATTCCATGAGGGTACGAAATCAGGATCGGGCGGAGAATGAAAACAGGAAGGAGACAGCGGATCGACCGACCCTCTTCCGCCTGTTCCTTTTGTTTTGTCTTTGACATACGCTCCGGTGGTACCGTCCTCTCCTCTTCCGGAGTCGAATCTATTCGAGCGTGAGGGATGCGACTGACAGTAGGAATTGTTATATCTCAGCGGGCCAGACGGACACCCGCTCGTAGTTCATCGATCTTCGACCGGTCGACGCCGCTGCTGTCGTCCACGCGATGGATTGGTTCCTACCTTCGTTAAAATTAATCAAGCGAAGCGCCGGTGCAATTGCCTTTGCCTACCACCCGCAACAATTCGCAGTATATTACTCGGATATGCATACCGCACGTGCATTCGTAGGATATACCGGATGTCCTTGGCAGGAATCTGTTTAGATGCGCAATCAATCGACCTTGATGAATTAATGAAACGATATTAAATTCATCATCATTGCGAAATTAAAAAATTTAATGGTAAGGAAAACGACGCAGAATAGATTACTACTATAATAAAGTCAGCATCTTAATAAAATTCATCCTTATACGATTAATTATTTTATCATTATATAATTCAGCTTCATATTTTATAAATATATTTCATAAACAATATTTTAAAGTAAGCATTTCTCAAATTAGAAATAATGTACGTATACACGCAAAAATACACGTATGATGCAAAACCATGAAAAGTCTCTGTAAATATATGTATCTATATGTTTCTTTAGACAGATTTTTCAATATATCCGATGTTTAATGAAAGCAATCTTGTAGTAAGCTCTCGCTGACGTGAAGAGTTTCCGATATACTCACAATCGAGTTCACAGCAATGATTCGCTTCAGGGCATGCTGCTTTTAATCTTCGACTTCGACCGGGTGGTTCTCGGCCACGCAACAACGGTTCATCTCGGATTCCTTAATAAATGAGTTTTTTATCGAGTTTTCGCTCGACCGAGTCGAGTGCAACCCCGGTTTCATATATATCAGAAACTTATATACCGAGACTCATTCAGACTCTCATATCGCCATCCATCTTTTCGAAGACAGGAGACACAAGGGCACATAATACACGCATTGGAAGGATACATACGAAGGTCTCGATGGCCTTGGCAATAGATTTAGACTTCAACTTTTTCGAACATGTCTTTATTTTAACTAAAATGTTACGCTAATATCTTTTTAACCCGTCGTCAGATAAGGCCTTCATAAAAAGTTAGGTGTTAATTAGGTTTTATAAGAGGGAGACTATTAAGAAAAAATCTAATATGAATTCATTAAAGGTTTAGGGTGACGCGTGATTGTATACGTGCGAAAACGGATTTTATAAAAGGTTGATTGGATTTACAAGGTAGAACTGCTTTCTAAGAGCTGATAAGATGAAAAAGATCGATTAGTATTCAAAAGTTGCATCACTATCTGATGTAACAACAAGTGTTATTCTTTTATTTCTCTTATAATATTATATACATATTGTATAATTTTAAAAGTTTAAAAAAACACGTTTGCTTTTCTCAAAACTCTTATGTACAATGTCGTTAACTCTGTACACAGTTTTTATTTATCTATACTTAGACATACTATTTTTCATATATGAAGTTATCCGTGTTATCACACACAGAGCTTCTAAGTCAGTCTTTTCATCACGTTTGAGAAAATTACCGTATATTAATTTTTTAATTGATCATAAATAAACTATAAAAAATATATCTATCACTCAGTAGTAGTCTAAAATTATAAGTATCGAAAAACATGACTTCTTTACTTTTACTAATTCTATCAATAATAAAATTTTGAAATTTTATCAGATTTCTCGGAGACTTAGAATACGTGTATATCTAAGTTTAAGATTATGTTTGCTTTAACATAAGATCGAGTTCTTGTAAAAGCTGTGTCATACGTTTTATTAAAGTAAATCCGGACATTGTGTCTGGTCGTAATGTTCGGATATAGCACTGCTTATACAGATTCGCAAGTGTCTCATGCCTGAAATTCCATTAAAAACAAGATGTATTAAAATAATAAAATATGAATTTCAATCTTTGAAATATTATATAATAAATTTATAATAACGTACTCTTTTTTATTATGCACAGGACTTTTACTAAGAAATAGCTTGGTTAACGATCGTAAAAGAAATTGTAATCTCTGTTCCAACAGAACTATGAGATTTTCCTCATCATCCATTAATTTTTGTTCTTCGGCCACTTTTTCCTGTTCAGCTTTACCATCCTCTGTTTTGTTTTCGATTGTTTTTTGTTTTGCATTATCTCGCTCGCATAATATTTTCATCATAGGTATACAATGTAATATTAATTCCAAACCATTTTGGTATGCTTTTAGCTTACTATTAAAAGTAGTACAATCTGAAAAATCAAACGTAAAATTCTGTTAAGACAAAAGAAAATTTAAACAATGAGAAGAAGGATAACTTCCTAAAAAGAAAGACATACTGCGCGCTTGGTATTCCATCAGGGCGACTCTTTCCATTTGAATCGTCAAATATTCCGAACTCTGCTCTAACGAGAGCAATAGCTTCGCTGCTTTATCGTAATACAATTTGCACAACTGTAAACTCGTCTTTTTCTTGCTACTATCCGCATCCGACTCAATTTCTCTGTACACGCTATGGTATAACAAAGCCAATCGATGTTGAATGGTCGCAGCACGGAATTGATAAATCGGCTGACGTGGTCCCGGTGTATCTATATCACAATATTTGAGTGCCTTCTGAAGAGTATCTACTACTTCTCTCTCCAATTCCACTTCATCCTGCAAAAAAAAATTAAAAAAGAATTCGTTAATGCATTTATTAGTGAATTTATCATTGAAGTTTTGACGTGAAAAATCTATTTACGCAACGGTAAAGATTACATATTAGTTAAACTACTGTACTTTGTATTTAGCAGTAGGATAATCCTGTAATAGCGAGGCTTTCGTGTACAACGTTGTCGAAAAATCCCACATGACCGTGTCCCATATTGCCGGATTTGTTTTCCTGTCACCTAAGACTTGCAAAGCCTTTTGATAGCTCACGAGTGCCTTGTTATAAAAATGACGCTCCTGCGTGTTTTGTTTGTCATGCATATGTGCACAGAGTCGCATAAGTCGACCGGTATTGGAGTGCAAAAGCGCCAAATTTGCTTCGTCGTGAACCGTCTCGAAAGCTTTAACCCCAGATTCCAAGTGAGTTAACGAATGCGTTAAAAGTATAGTTACGTCCGGCAAATTCGATGATTCATCCATATTTTCTTGCTGATATCGAGCTATAAAAATGTATAAATGTCTTGATTAATAAACAATTAATAAACAAAATACTTATTATCTTCTATTGAAATACACGAAGTTTACATACATCCCGCTTGATTCATGTAAAGAGCACCCAACTCGTTATGGATGTTCCCTAGTCGTCTCAACAAGTTATTTTTGTCCATCGGCTCCAGAGACAGAGCTTTCTTGTAACACTTGTATGACGAAACCAATGTAGATTCTAGACTTTCTAATTCCTTCGGTAATAATTCAGCACCATCTGTAATAAAATACGCAATAGTAACGATTGTTCATGTATTACTTTCATTTCTAAGTACATATTTCGATGTTTACTCATATCCAAATCCTCTATACTGAACAATTTTTCAACTATTTTCTCTTCCATTTCGTTCTTCGTATTGTAATCTTTCCTATGCTTCTCCACGTTGCACCAGTCCTGCACCGTCATAAAACAACAATCCCCCGCGCGAGCTAATAGATAACTAACCGATTTATCATTTCTTACACCGCAGAAGATTTCCAATATTTTTTGACAATACAATACTTCCAACATATATCTTAAGGAGGCACCATAATTTTTATTTACATATTCATTCTCGGCGAGCACAGCCAATATTAACGACGCTTTCTCGTATAATAATATTTCTAAATGAGCACTCCAACAAATGTTATCGCTTTTTTTCGGCGCTTGCCATGTTGGCAATGTTTCTGTCTTCGGTTTACACAACAGAGCATTCACGTTTGCTACTTCCTTCGTAATGTTCTTTTCACTTTTCTTCTTTTTCTGTTTGTTTTTCTTTTTATGGGCGGGACTATGATTCTCCAAATTTGTTTTGGACGTGGTACTCTTGTCGTTCTGATTTAATGGGGTATAAGGCATAGGAATCGCTTGGAAAGGTTTCGCTACGTTAGGATGCATCTCCTCGTATTTCTTTTTCTCTTTCTCATGTTCTTCAGTTTTTTTTTTCTCCTCGTCATTGCTGTCATCAGTTGGAAAATATTGAAGACAATCGAGTCCGTGCGTAACATGTTCCAATCCAGACAGACATCTCTCTTCTACAGTACCTGACATTGGAGGTGCCTTATACTTTGGTTGCTCACGTTCCACTTGCTCTTTCACTGCAAGAACGATTATAATGTTAATCTTTATAAAAAATTTAAAATAATAGAATTGAATTCAAGCTTATTTACTGTTGGCTAAGGTCAAAGATTTAATCGCGCAAGTTTCTTCTTCCTCTTCCTTTTCATTTTCTTGACTTGCACCACACTCGCTATGAACATCCTCTTCGTCGCTTTGATCTGATAACCCTGGACTGGCTGGATCTGTATCCGATGGTATGTACAAATCCGAAAGCATAAAATGTGCAGATGTAACGATTTGCGGATATTTCTCCTTAGGCAGCAACTGAACGCAATTTTTCAACAGCATTCTAATCGTGCCTTGATAGCGATGATAATCGGGAGAATATTTCATGTTGCGAGCTACTCTGTATAACAACATTGCAACAGGCACAGTAAAAGGATTTTGTCCCTTCTCTTCTGAAACATCACTGCACAATGATGTTAAATCATATAACTTCACAACATCATCATCCTTACCTGAAAAAAAAAAAATATTACGTGAATGAAATATTTAGCTAATGTAAAAATTTTAATTTATATTTTCTATATTTCAAGTTTAACATTTACCCTTAAATAACCAGTAAGTGTGACCAGCTTTTGTCGCATTATTTTTTAGAAAACTTAAAATATTCTGAGCAACGTCTCGAATTACTTTAGGACTAAACTTTGAATTATCTAAATTTGGAAGGTCTTCCGTCTTTATCAGTTCATATTTCTGTACGATACCATTTAAATGATAACACATCACTACTTCTGGAACATTACACATTAAATTGTCCAACCAATAGTCTATTCCTGTTAAGACATTTATAGGTTTTGTCATATCTCTCAGTCGTAAACTTATGCATGGATGTGTTTGACCGCCAAATATCGGCATGTCTGTCCCCACAAGCATCTGTATGTTTTCAAACGTCCATACAACGTTTCTTGAAAAATTATGTTTGTAATTTGGATCAGGTACTTTCTCCTCTTGTGTAGGCTCAGGTAAACATGGTTCTAATGTTTTCACAGGTAACTGAGGTTTTTCGCTTCCTTTGTCTTTATCCGCTAGTACTATAGAGTGATATAGAAATTTTGATACCAGATTCCTCTGTTGTAAACTATTTCTACTGTATGCCTTATGAAAGAGACGTTTTTCTTTGTCACCAAGATTTTGAAAAATATGCTCGTAGAAGAATTTTTTTAACCATTCCCAATCGCTCTCCGCTTGTCTCAGTAGATATTTATGTATGTCAAAATCATCTAGCAACAATGTATTTTCAATACGATGAACCATCATTGAAATCACATCATGATTGTAAGGCAGTTTAAGCAATTTCTTTATATTTTCAGCATCTGACACCACATCCACTTCACCAACGCAATCAGGAAACATGTGTGCCATGCGAAAACTAGAGAATCCGGTACTCTGAGACCAAACATTTTGTAGACCATAACTTTCTGCCGAGCTACTAAGCCAGTTACTGGGTGGAAGGTTCAAATCTGTGTTGCATTGTAATTGTGCATATGTCACTGGAGTTTGTACTGCAGAATATTTCACTACTGCAGTTGATTTCACGGGTTTCTTTGGAGAATCTGGCGGTATAGCTAGAGCCATTGACTTCATCTGTAATATATAAAATTAGTTCTTAATTCCGTACCTTATAAAATTTACTAAAAATATTATCAACTTATCTGATTAATTAAATATCGAATTAAAGATATGAAGACATGATATAACATAGAGGATCATCTTTACATACATATATCAATAGTAATAATAATGATATTAATATAACCTCTCTGCAGAAGAGAGTATATTATTTTTCAAATAAAATAAATCAAAATGTTGATCACATTTGTAATAAACTTACTGGAACAATGTTAGTATCTGTATTTTTCGACATCCTTTTGAATCAACTGTATGATAGTAAAATATTACTGTATCTGAAAATATCTAGATGGATGCGTGAAGCTATGCAAAGCATGGCACTGTCGGCATTGACTCACAAGCCTGCTTAAACCAGATAAAGAAAAGCCTTGAAAACCTTGCGAAGACTGCAAGTAGACATGGATGGGACACGAGTGGACTGGAGTAGTGGAGTGGACACAGTGGACATGCCCAGTGCCCACGTTTTATCTGTTTTATAAAATTGTGAAATCTGTCTAGTGGCGCCTCTATGTGTACAAAACGTTCAATTTGAACTATATAGTCACATAGATTTTCCGGTGGATAACAAATTTTCGGTCTTCAATTTAATTTGCTAACAGTCTAACAGACTAAACAAAAAATTGAAGTGCGTTATCCGGATGACTACATAGTGTTAAATTATATGTTTATGTACAAAAATAGAATGATATATAGAAAATTTAAGAAACAGAATTTCAATTTTATTCATAAAAAATAAAATCGATCAATCACATGTATTATGTTGTGTAAAAAAACATTGCAAAAAAAGTTATTAATAAGTTCTAATCAAAATAAATTTAAATTATATATATGTATATTTTTTAAATTTAACAGACATATATAACATATTATTTTTTATGAATATAAAATTGAAATTTTGGTTTATATGCGTATTTTTTTATTATATACGCATATAGGCCCGTATTCAGAACGCGCTTACAACGATATTAGCGCTCTAACATGCTATAGTTTACGTTACGCATACTACGGAATTTCAGAGATAAAATTGCGCTTTTATCAATAAAAACGCGTTCTGAATAAAACATAGTTGGAGACACTACCGCGCGTCTCCTGATATATTATATTTTTACAATGTGTGTGATTAGTATAGATTTCATTTTTTTTATAAATAAATTAAATTAAAATTCTCGTTTTCCTATAGATTTTCTTCAAATATCTGTGTGTACTACATTATTTATTTTAATAGAAAGAAAAAAATTTTTGTAAATAACAATAACATTTTCTTTATTTTTTAGTACAAAGTCAAGAGGAAAAATGTGTCTTCCAATCAAGCAGATATAATATATATTTCTTGGTAAACAAGTTTCGAGAAAAACAATGTGTAAACTATACCTAAGATCGATAGCTTTCAACGTTGAAGCGAAGCCCAAGAAACTCGTAGATCAACCGTCAAAGTCACAAAGTTACGATATCGAAGTCTTAAATAATATTATGCAAGACATGCATTTATACGTGCTAATAAAATCACTTTTTTTTTGTGTCTCCGATCTTCCCTTTCTCTTTTGTAACATGATAATGTTTCAAAATTAAATTCATTTGTCAGCAAAAGAATAAGCGAAAACGTCTCTAGCGAAAATAAAAATCAGAGTGTAAAGTCGAATGTAAGGGGAGAGAGAGTGACAAAAGCGTTTTTTTTTTAAAAACGAAAATTGTTGAGATAACGAAAAACATAAAAGAGTTTATTCTTTTTTTACATTTCGTTTTTTATATTTCTCAATTTTCGTCTTCTAGAAACTCCGTTTACGTTTCTGTCACTCTCTCCTTATAACATTCGTTTTGCGATCAAATCTTTCTTTTTGTCAAAGGTCACAATAAAATAATCCACCCAAATGTCTCAGAAACGCAGAAAACCGTCGTGTGAGCACATCTCATCCGCACTTAAACGCCTTAGGAAGTCCTAAAAGTCTATCATACGTCATCGTATATACCTAGTATATAAGTCCCCTACTGTTGCTCGGTGATCTATTCATCTCTGAACGGAAGAGACAAAGACATTTTTATCATGGTGGTGAATTTTAAGGTCTACAAAAAATGTTCACCCAACGGCAAGCTCGCTGTTTATTTGGGCAAACGGGACTTCATCGACTACCTGTCGGGTACTGAATCAATTGATGGTGTAGTCCTGGTCAGTCCGGAGTATGTCGATAGCAGCAGGAAAGTATGGTGCCAACTATTGTGCAGCTTTCGCTACGGACGCGAACAGGACGAGGTGATGGGCCTCAATTTCCAAAAGGATCTTTTCCTGGCGTCAGAGCAGATTTTCCCACAAGTTAAAAAGCCCGAGTCTAATCCTACCAAATTGCAAGACAGGTGAGAAATATTTATTATCTAATAATATTTAGACTCATAGGCATGAAATATATAGTGCAGTGTAAATCCGTACTACAGCACTCCAGATAGCAAAATGCTAGCAGTATGCCAGCAAACTTGATCATGACATTACATCAGATATCAAAAGCTGCTGCTTCCTCATTATATAAGCTTAGTTTCTAATAGCTTATCCTGCCAACTTAATACAACGATAGAAACACAACAAAAATCAATCATTATTTGCTATCACATCGTGACAGCGAAAACGCGGTAAAAATACAGCACGACTTGACATAATCAGGTACTGACAGCAAAAACATCACAATGTGACGGCAGGCTGTGCTCGATTTTTACTGCGTTTTTGCTGTCAGTACTTAATTATGTCAGGTCGTGCGGTATTTTTGCCGCCTTTTTGTTGTCATAATATGACAATAAGTGTACCAGATTTTTAACTACATTTTGCTGATTTAACATGTCGTCATGTTTTATATCAAGTATTGATTTATTGTATTCTGTTTGCTTTATTTCGGTAACGTTTAATGAATTTTTACAGAATTTTTGCTAGTGTATTATGACGCAGGTCTGCTTTATTTTTGCTGTATTTCTGTTAGCGCTATACTGAAATGGTAAAAACCATGTTCGACTGCTGTTCAATTTTTGCCATTATAATATGTAGCATAAATTTGCAATGCGTGCTTTTGGTAGGTTTGGCTATCTGGGGTACGTTGCTATAACGTTATAATTATGTTACTGCAATATTAATTAAATAAAAATTAATTGAAGGTTTTAATCAATATTTAATGATGTTTAAAAACATCCAATATTTCAAAATTGATTTTAATTTATTATATTTCTTTATTGTTTTCTTTTTACGTTGTTCTAAAGATTGCTAGATATTGATAAGTGATGAAGTTGTCTTTTTAACGCTTTCAACAAGCGAGATTAACTTGTCAACTGTAGATAGATTGTAAGAATCTGAACATGTCTTTCTGGAACAGGTTGTTGAAGAAACTGGGTTCGAACGCGATACCCTTTACCTTCACATTCCCGCAGAGCGCGCCGTCCAGCGTGACTCTTCAACCTGGACCCGACGAGACCGGCGAGCCATGTGGCGTAAGTTACTACATAAAGGTATACTGTGGCGAGACGGAGACCGACGTGACCCACAAGCGTAGCACCGTCTTGATGGGTATCCGCAAGATCCAGTATGCACCCACGAAGCAGGGTCATCAGCCGTGCACCGTGGTGCGCAAGGACTTCCTGCTGAGTCCAGGCGAGCTCGAGCTCGAGGTTACTCTGGATAAGCAGCTGTACAATTACGGCGAAACGATCACCATCAACGTGTGCGTGCGTAACAACAGCAATAAGATGGTGAAGAAGATCAAGGCGCTGGTGCAGCAAGGCATCGACGTGGTGATCTTTCAGAACGGTCAATTTCGAACAGTGATAGACGCGATTGAGACACAGGACGGCTGCCCAATCAATCCCGGTTCGACTCTGCAAAAGGTGCTCTATCTGAAGCCTTCCCTGGCGAACAATAAGCATCGTCGCGGTATTGCCCTGGACGGCATAATGAAGCGGGATGAGAGCGACCTCGCGTCCAGCACTCTGCTTACCTCGCCGGATGTGCGCGACACTTTCGGCATCATTGTATCCTACGCCGTCAAGGTCAAGCTTTATCTGGGCGCTCTGGGCGGCGAGTTGGCGGCTGAGCTGCCATTCATTTTGATGAGACCCAAGCCATCCGATCGGGTCAAACTTGTCCCGACGGACAGCGTGCTGATTGAAGACATCCCGCACGAGAAGGTCGACGAGAAAGTCGGCTTCTAAAATAACGTTTCAATATCCCGTGGGACCATCGCCCGAGCTCTCGCTTCGATCGCTTCTTGCGCCTAATTCTAATTCTAATTAGCATATCGAGCAGGCACAAGGATAATACTGACGTCTAAAAGTCATCTAAAGGGCGTCTTAATCCGGAGTAGTCACTTGATTTTTTTTACGTAAACGGTTATCTGGGATATTTTTACACCTTAATTAAAATCACTGATTAACAATTTTACATTATTAACAACATTTTGTATATAATAATTAATTTTTCAATTTTTTCTGTTTTTTATTTATATTTGAGAGCATTATATATATAGTATATATCGAATTTTTTACATTATGATTTGTATTTTATTAATATTTCAAAACACATTATGGATATCGATTTAATTATTGTATAATTATTTGAAAAGAGTAAGTAGAAACAGTAAAAAATAAAAAAATATTAAACGAAATAAGTATGTTAAGTAACTTATTGTGTGAAGATGGTATTTTTAAAAATAAAGATTTTAAATAATGCTTTTGTATTGTGAGTTTTCAATGAAATGCATATTTAAAAGTTCAAGAATAGTTGTTAAAAAAGAAAGAACATACGTTATATAATATTCATATATTTTACAATAATTTACATTTTTTTCATGTAAGTGACTATTTCCGTGTTAATTAACGTATTAGTTTTTAGATATCTTTCAGAATTCGCCTATGATATTGCCAGTTGAATCTGTACTTTTTATTATAAATCGCAAGTCAGTTTCTGTATATGAATCATATAAAAAATATCGAATTAATTAAATCTACTGATATCTTTTGAAGAAATATTTATTTATATATTTAGCTAATTAATTTATATAACAATAATTAATACGTTGAGAATGGTTAATTTATATAAACATCGATCTCCCATTAATTATTTTCGGAAAATAATTTATTGATTGTGTATCGATTGTTTTAATATAAGCGCGAATTTGTAATAAGCATCTAACTGCATCTCTCTCTATATGTACGTTTAATTAAATTCTTCAATCTCTCTGAAACTCGTAATTAAAATGCGTCAATTCAATTCCCTCAAAATGTTCCCCAAATTTTATTATTATACGATTGCGCATATCGTAAAATAGTTATTACAGAAATGTATATATTTTACAAAATCAATAAAACATATAAAAAACGTCTGTTTATCAGTTAGGCGCGACTTTCGTCGCGTGTGCGT